GTATCCTTTTACGAGTTGTTCGGTCATGAATTTGAATATCAATTGTCTTTTGAATTTGGTTCGTTTTTCAAAGACATATTTTTACTTGAACAACGAAAATCTGAACTTAGTATTTGCTTCAATTTTAATTCGGTATTGTTATTGTTTCAAAATAGAATTTCACAGCTTTTTTCAAAAATCAATTTGTATTTACCCTTTATTTTATCGAAAAACTTCCTGGACACTTTCAAAAGGGAACTTGTTTTCCAAATACAATAGTCTAATAACGAAATTGGTCGGATATACTTGACTTATATATTATTCATAGTTATTGTTTTTAATTTCGTTTCCTGTTTTAAAAAATCATGCTAGTCAGATACGAAGTACTTGATATCAATAAAAAAACGGAAATATGTAAGTTGGCTCTGACATGGCGTTGACGGTTCAATTCCTCGATTTTGGAGAACAACATGTAATAAAAATAAAAACATTTCATAACTGAATTAATTCGTAAAGACATTAATGACCTTAGTTTAATTTGATGATAAAGTGTACATAAAAATGAAAAGGTAGATACAAAACAATTTGAACGTTAAAATGTTTTTATCAGATTAGTTTTATCATTAATATATCAAAGATGCTATTCAATCACCTGGTGCAGTTCAGTCAACATCGTAAAATGTTATCAGCAGAAGGTAAATGTTTTCGTTATGGACTTCATGTGACATTATCAGGAATGTATATCTCTAAAACAGTGTCGTTATTCCTTGTTCGCATTCGTTGTAACTGTTTTCACTTTTGGATGATATATATCGACCATCAGGTCAAATTGTGTATGCGTTTTGGTGCTTTAGACTTTGTACCTTTTACTTTTCTGTAGATTCATTGACATCAACCAACAAGTATATATTTCCAGTGGTTTGTAAATGTAACGAACAATGTCTTAAAAAAAGACTACGAATACAATTGCTATCTCTACAAAATAAATAAGGTTCAATGAATAATGAAATTGTTTTTATGACGTCAATATTAGTCATTGATTTAAGAGTTTGATATTGTCACTTTCCTTTTTCGTATTTTCAGCAAGTGGTGTGCTATAAGGCATTCACCTAAATCTTCTCTAGAATGATATCTGAATTAATCTGTAGAGCTGTAGAGTTTTAGATTCTGTTATAATAGTTCGTATCAAGAAACAAAACATGTTTATAGTTAGGCATTTACAAACTTTATTGTTTAAGTGACAAGTTGATATATTCCATGGTTTTCCTATGTTTATACACATTTGACAGTTAGAAATCATCTTTTGTTTCTTCAGAGTAGTTTTCATCGTTATTCGGTGTTACATTTCCTTGATCTTCATTCCCATAAAAATTTGTTTTAGTTTTATCCAGGGAACATCCCATTTCTTTGATTCCAAAGGAATGTCTACTAGCAGAACTTGTAAAGATAGTTGGGTTTTCATCGGTCAAGTTTTGTTCGGTTTTGCGATAAACATGTTCGTCTTCAGCTGCACTGTTTGCAACCAGGGTTGTGTATGGTTTTTCATTACCATCCTCCATATCTTCTGTATAATTGATGTCATTGTTAGATGATGCTGAGGAATGTTCCTCCGTAGATGGAGTTGTGTTTCTATTATCAGTCCCTATTCTTTCAGTGTCTGAAATATTCTGGGTACTATTTCCTGAAATCAGTAAATAGATATAAGAAGATGTGGTATGAGTGCCAATGAGACAACTCTCCATCCAAGTCAAAATTTATAAAAGTAAAAAGTTTGTTTTTTTAATTCATTTTACAATAACACTTGCATATTTCTTCTAACCCTAAAATCGCAAAACACTGAAACATGAATGTCGTATTACACTCTTTTTGATTATTAAATGATATTGAATTATATTGCAGGAAAATGATTGTGTTCTTTTATTTTCAATATGGCATAATGTAAATTATCATAAGATGATACAAATAATAGTATTTAGAATTTTCCTAATGTCTACTATTCAGCAGAAGTACATGAAACCACATTCAAACATAACAATGACGAAAGTTTCTAAAAACTCTATGTAATTAACCCTGTTGGCTTGTATCATAATCAGCCAGTTGTTGTGCTTCTCGTATACTTATTTTGACATAATTATTGTTCTTATACGTTTAATTTTTACACCGATTGAGATCAAATTGGAGGAGGCTTCAGTTCCTAAAAATGTAGTATAACCAGCTGCATATTCAGGTCCTGTCACCAAACCAATCTGAATGTGTGTGTTTTTTTTTTGTTTTTTTTTTACTTTTTTTTTATTATTTTATTTTTTTTTGCGAAAACTTGTTTCCTTGGTAATAATTACTACGAGGGATGTTATTAACAGCTACATATTTTGTGGATTAAGTTTTATAAACGTATTTCTTTTCCAAGAATCTTATGTACGGTTGTGTCATGTTTTGGTTATTATCCTTTACGTTTACATGTATGTTTTATAAAGTGTGTAACTTGCGGTGTGGTCAATACGTAATCAATTATTTCTGCATAATGAGGGCTGTCATCAACATTTCGCTCAGCTGTTTGGTTATTAATGGCAGTCATCAACCTAATTATATATTTAAAAGTAAAGCATGACATTGTATTGAAAATGCATAGTACACGTATTAAAAGTCTAGGTACCTTTCATTATTATATAGTTTGCCTTGAAATTTTATCCTATTTTACATGTAATAATTGCAGAAAATGACATTATCTTACCTTGATCTGCAGATAAGTTCGAAAGTACTTTAAACTTTTATATGAAAGAAATTGGCATTGTCAACAGTAAGAAAAAATTGCCAATACCTCTTCAATAAATATAAAACCTGGAAAAAATACTAGTGACTCATATTCCACATGCCAAACGAATATTTGAAAAACTAATTTGAAGACGGTAAGATGTACTTTCTTTTCAACTGTGTTGTGCTATTCATTATGCACTGTTCTTAAAAATTCTAAAGAACTTCAGGACAATTTTAAATCTCGGTCTATTTCTGAAATTAATTCCAACATAACTTTTGATTTTTTAACCCTGTATACCAACATTCCCCATGTGAAATTATAAAATTGTTTTGAATAAACATTGAATGACAAAATTTCTTCTTATGTGACGTTTACATTTTCTGACGTCAGACACGCGAAGCAATGAATGTGGTTTTTAATTTGATAGATGCTTTTGTTCTTTTTTGTAAATAGTTGTTTGTTTTGATATTGTAACACAGTGATGACTGCTGTACCCATATTTTGACTATTTTATTTATGATGTCTGTTTTGTTCACGCATCGTTGTAAATATAACGAAATTTGATAAGACTGTCGTACAAGTGAGAGGTTTAGCGCTATAAAACCAGGTTCAATCCACCATTTTCTACATTTGAAAATGCCTGTACCAAGTCAGGAATATGACAGTTGTTGTCCATTCGTTTGATGTGTTTTGTCATTTGATTTTGCCATGTGATTAGGGACTTTCCGATTGAATTTTCCTCGGAGTTCAGTATTTTTGTGATTTTACTTTTTTGTATGAGTATCACATCTTTCTTGCTTAACTTGTCATTTTGTCACTGATGGCGTTAACATTAAGATAACTAAAATGTATCACATTTGTTGAAAAATCAATCCAAATATAATTAAACTATTTTTAAAACGAATACTTTCTGGAGAGACTCAACAAGGACATTATTTATCAAATAGCGAAACATGTCGGATATCTATACTTAAATTTCATCATTCATATCTATTGTTTTTTGAAAAAACAAAATTCGTGCCAGCTAGTAACAAAGCATTAACTCGCACTTTTGTCTCGAGGTGGCTTTCAAACTACAATCTACCAATTTTGTAACATTATGAAGTGTTAAGAATTAAGGATCTGATAACTAAATTGATTTTTTGCATTAAATATATATTTATTAGTTTATTGTGTTTAAATGTACAGTCTATTATATACGGCTTGCCATATAATCCTTCATAAGCGATATCGCTAATTTAAACATACTAAAGAATTTGACATCAAGCGCCTCGTGGACTTTATCCATATATAAACACGTGTTCCCGCTCGTTTTCATTTTACGTCAAATTTGCAACAAGACAACCCCCCCCCCCCCCACCCCCCCCACGTTTTCCTAGTTTATTTTTCAGATTGCATGGTGAACATATCAATATGTATTGAATGTATCGTCAGATTGTCAGGTACCATCACAAGCTTCAACATTTATCAACAGATGCTATGAATACCGAAAAAAAAGGAGTTTCTATAAATTAGTTATTAAAAAAGAATCATCTATTGTCATGGCATTCATTTCAATGATAAAGTACATAAGACATCAACATAAACAAATTAAATAGGCAGTGGTTTATTCAAGTTATATTATTTTAGCTGTTATGGATCTACCCAGCAGCTAGACATTGATTTCTATTCACTGTTGGTTTTCCCGTCTGTGATCAATAGTTGGCAAGTTTGTTGTTGTTGTTGTTGTTTGTTGTTTGTTGTTTAATAATGTTGAATAAATGCCAGCCAAATTTCAAGTTGTTTGTTGTTTATATTAAACGTTTGAAAGCTAGAAACAGGACAATTTTACGGTTATGCCGTTTTATAACCCTGTAAATCAAGATACGATCCATTTTGTTTGAAACTTTTCCAGATTGATTTTAATAGTTACCTCTTAAATTGTGCTGTAAATTTACTGTTCCGGGTAAAGGAACTGCTCAAAACTCGTAAACACGTTAAACCCCTCTGCATTTATCATGTTTTTGTCCGGACTCAGGATTCTAATTTCAGTAGTTGTATATTGTTGTCTGTCTGTCATATTTGTTTTTTGATTGTCATAAGTCATTGTTTTTTCGCTGTTTGCATGATTTTAGATTTTGTCATGTCGGCGCTGTTTATTTCTTACAATACAGTATAGTTTTGTTCATAATTGAAGACCGTACGTTGACTTACAGTTCATTTCACCGATAGTTCTTTTCATGCACGTCATTTGGTTTCTGATGTACTAAAATTGTCCAATAAGCTATTGAAACTATCATCTTTATTGTTAATAGTATACAAAATATTATTATATTTCACATGTATATATATACACTTATTATAAGACAATTCAAAACTTTTTTGCTAAATGTCCTGTGTCGGGAAACAACTTTCGTTTCAGGATGAAACAATACAATGGTCTACCAGTTGACAACACTATTGTGCTGTGCCTGTCTGGATTTCAATCGAAACAGATTAAAATTTGTTGTGTTTTATGGACTTCACCATTATTGAATTTACATTGGATTTCGGTATTTTTGTTAATACTTTTTTGTTTCTTCGTGTTAAAATGAAAACACTCTTGAATATTGATGACATTAATGTGGCTTCATTAGTACTCTTTGGTTAATACTATTCGTGCATTCGGGAGTACAGTTGAACCACGAATTGAATTGTTATTAATTTTATATTGGCTTCTATGCTAACTTCAGCTAAACAACGAAATCAAATCCACAATATATACATAGTTTCTCAGATAAGGCATTTTCTTGTAGTTTAAAAAAAAAACAAATCTTCCATTGTCCTTTTATATGTTAATACCAGAAGAGAGAATGACGGATTAAGGATTAATATTTCTGAAATATATCGCTTCATTTGAATCATGTGGTGTATGAGTGGAATTCATAAATTTGCTGTTGGTTTAAAAAGGAGAGAAACCCGCGTAATAATTGAATATTACGCTTTTCTTATGGACTTCTCACATCAAGACCAAAGAAATTTGGTCCATTGAAAAAAAAGTGTAAAGTTATGATTCATTATGCATCCACTAAAGCTATTTTCTGGCAAAGTCCTTAACTGTTTATATTGGTTTCTAATTGATGGGTTGCAGAACTTGATATTTCGGGTCTTTAGCTACATCTCCAACACGTTGCTCGTTGTTTACGTTGCCAAGATTTTCGGTAGTTATAATTGTAGTATTGTACTTTTATATAGACGTGAATTAAAGCAATAGAGAAATTTACGCCCTTGAGGGTGAAGGTCTTTAATACCCTCTCGTGATTTGGTTGCAATACGTATTTAGTGTGGTTATAACAAATGACAGATGGAGTTTTCTCCTTGATGAAATCAGGCTTTTACTTATATCTACTGACCCAAGACTTATAGCCGAAATAAAACATGAGAACAATGTCCAAATTTAGGAAATGCTATCATATTTCATATTGAAATTCAGGCATTCAAATTATTACTTTATTGTTTAAGTGACAAGTTAATGTATTCTACTGTATCATTTTGTTTATAAAAGTATGGCCGCTGAAAATCATTGTCTCTTCCGTTAGAATTATTTTCAGCATAACTCAAATTCACATTTTTCAGAAAGTCATTCGATAACTAAACGATTTTGTTTTATCGGGTATATAATGCACTTCTGTGAATCCAGAAGAATTTCCAGAAGCAGTATTCTCTAAAAAGGTTGAATTTTCATTGGTTAAGTTGTTTCTTACAGAGAGATAAACATGTTCGTAGTCATCTCTATCAATTTCCATCAGTGTGGAGTATGGCTTTTCATAACCATCGTCCAAAATATCTGAACCATTGGCATCATTATCCGATATTGTTGAAAAATGATCTTCAGGCACATTGGTTATATCTCTATTTTTCACCACTACACGTATTCTATCAGCCAATGCAATACTCTGGTCATTATTTCCTGAAATCGTGAAAGTCATTATATTTTCCATTCATTTAAACGAAGAAACTTGTATAATGCTTCTAAAACTAATGCCAATAAATAGGATTGCATTATAGCCGTACACATTGAAACGTGTATGCCACATTTGTCTGCATTGGATTATTTAAAGATATTGAAATAAAATTGCATTCATTGTGTTTGTTCAATTTGAAATTATATGATTTTAATCTCAACTACTCATATGTATGTGCATATTCCGAAGGTCTAATGTTTAAAATCAGAGACAGGAAAACTTGTTTGCTACACATACATAACCATGTTAAAATTCTAACAGTTCAGTATCATTTATCTTACCATAAAGGTAACAGGACATTTCCCTTTATTTTCCTTTGCCTATACTGATTTTGTTTTGTATGTACGTTTTGTTGGTCTGGTGATAAAGATAAGCTAAGATGGTGGTTATGGGTGAATTTCTCTAAATTATAGTGTGATCACGTCGCACTTATATATCCCTGTCAAGGAACCTCGTTAACGATTATCTTCTGAAATATCTTAATGTACTTAGTATTTGGTCCCTCATACATATCACTTTACAACGTAGGAGTCATTTTACAATCTTCAACATTGAAATTAATTTGCACAAAACTAATGAATACACGGAATATTTTATGTTTTTTCCGTTATATTACATGTAAACATTTATTTTTCGGCATACCTTGTCCTGTGTCAAGTATGTCATCAGTTTGAATTATTTCTGCATAATGCGCGCTTTCGTCACCATTAACTTCAGGTGTTTGAATATTTTTTGAAGTTATCATCCTAAAATTAAAAAATGTATGTAAAACATTTCACAGTACAAGTCTTTAAAGTCGCCGTTCCTCTTTTTTTGTGTACAGTTTGCCTTTAATTTTTCATACTATTATAATATAAGAAAATGACTACATCTTAATCTTAATGTTGTGTTTGGAGACAGTTGTTTGTCCTTTGGTTGTTTTAATTATTTTTTTCAATAGCAATGTCACATCGGTTTCGACTTTTGAGCTTGAATATCCCTTTGTTATGTCCCGCCTCTTTTTAACATTACTTAGCATTCTGTAATGCTTAAGGTACATAATAATTTTATGAACTTAATAACCTGCAATTTTATCTGTAACAGAGTTTGTTCTCCATTAAGTTTTCGTTATTTCCAAAATTCAATTTTTATGTTTTGAATCCTGAATTTGTTTATTTTGCCTTTTTAAAGTGAAGCCTTACGTATTTAATTTTAGTGGAATATTATATTTAATTGAATGGAATAAAAATTACTTGACAGTGTGTACAAAAACATTAGGGCATAAATTCAAACGTTCAAATTAAAAATGAGCAAAACGACGGATAAAACTAATGCAGCTTGATCTACTTACCCATCCGAGATTACCCCTGGTTTTGGTTGAGATCGTATTGTTCAGTCTTTAGTTTTCTATATAGTGTTTTAGAGACTACTGTTTGTCTTTTCGTCGTTTTTCTTTTTACCATGGTATAGTCGGTTGTCTTGGACGTAAGATTTTGCATTGTACGTTTTATAAATTATGTATTCAAACGAATCTCTATATTAAGCCCAAAAGACAAACATTTAAGCGACAAAGATGTTTAAATAGATGGGAATTCTTATGACAAAATTCATCTTGCAATCAATAGTCAACGCACTAGCAATACTTTAATTACCATTTACCAGGTTCTTCGTGATTTCATCTTTATGCAAATCAAATTAAATAAGTATTATCTACAGAGGTTATAAAATGTATAAAAATAGATGACTAACCTTTTTCTGTACATCTGTTTCAGGAATCCTGATGTTGAAACACAAGAAGAAAATTACAGTTCACATGTCACATGTACTTATAACTTAAAAAAATCTAAAAGTCAAATCAAATGTAGTAAACTTTAGATCAATATCAAATATAACAGAAAGTCCAAAATAATTTGACCAAATATTGAAACCAATTAACTTAATGATAGCACCGATCATAAGATCAATTATATTCAGGAGAAAGAAAGTTAACGCCAAAAGAAGACATGAACTGTTTTGAGTTGATTTATTATTAATTTCTGGAACCTTGAATTCAAACTGATTGATACTTCTCAATGAACCTGCACAAATGTGTTTATTTATGAAATGCCCTTTTGCGAAAATGAATACTTATTCTCCTCGTGCAAGAATTAACATTTATTATGGATTTGTAAATGAAATACATATGGTTGATGAATTCCATGTTGGAAGACAAACATGTTGGAACTTCTTGTCGTCACATGAATCGCTATTATTTGGATTTAGCATTGCTTTATTAATGTGTTACATTCGATTGTATGTTGATTCCACTAAACACTTGACATCGTTATATCTAAAACCGACAATGTGTACTTACTAACATATATACCCATCCCAGCCAAAATAATTATCAGAAATACTATAATGGTAATAAAGATGCCTTCGGCCGACAGTGTTTGTTCTCCTGATGAGTAATTCACTGAAATGAATAGGATAGAATATTAAAACGATCGTAAAACGTAAATAGTACAGATTTTTTTATCAATTCAAATCAATATATTAATAAGAAATCAGCAAAAAAAAATGAAAAAAAAAAATCTCAGGCGTTCTAAGTGCTTTTCTGGATTTACCTTTATAAGGAACGCTGAAAACTGAAAAATTTGAAAGCCACGGATGTATAAGAACAGAAACAGTTGAACAGCTATATGACCAAACTTGACATAAAAATAATTGTCAAATCCATCTAAGATCAATTTTGCGTAAGGGAGTTGAAACCTTAGTTTCTTATTAATTTAACATTTATAAACGGACATGTTTTGAACAGGGTATTACAAATCATGTCAGTACCGAATTACCTACTACTGAGCTGATGATATCTTCAAGGACTGACAGTCAACCAGCAGCGGTATCGATCCAGTGCTTATTACTTATTCAATTTCCAGAAGATGAGAAGTTAAGTTATATATCAAAGAAAAATATTATTCAAAGATAGCAGATGCACTTACATTTTTAAGAAATAGTTGGCATGCATTATATAGAAAACTATGAATCATTAATAATTGATTTACATGTGCGAAGGTTGTTTGAATAACTACAAGATACATACATGTATCTATTATCTATATATATTATTTGCTGAGCAGATATTTTATTCTTCGAAATGTGCTAGTCAACAAAATAAACGATACAAGGCAACGTATTTTCAATATATAAAGACATACATACGCTACATATTAGATTAACTGATTAATTTGAATCCTTTGCTCATTGTATTTTCTCCCCCTCCGACTTCTTTTTTCATCATATGCATAACTTCAAGTTATGAATGCTATATTGAGAAACATCTAGTGTTTAATCATAATTCTACGTTGCTTTGATTACAATGAAATACAACGAAGTTTCAAAATTCGTTAATTCATACCTTTACTTCTTAATTCAACATGAATACTGATGTTTCCATATCTATTGCATAATGTTACCATATACATTTGGAAATCAAATCTTCTTAGTTTAGGAAAACTGAACACTACTTGCCGTCCATGCAGTGTAATTGTTGTACCGTGAAAATTAGCTCTGGTTATAATTAACTCCATTCGAACATGATATTGAAATGAATATCCGTACAAATTTGACACCACCGAACATGTTATGTTCGATACACTGTACACATAAATTGCCAAATCTTTTGGATTTCCTTCTTTGCCATATTGTACGGTCTGGCTCTTTTTCATAAAAATAGGTGGACCTTAAATACAAAATAGATGAGTACTTTGAGATAGTTAAGATTACAGTCGGACATGGTATTTAATGAGTCCTTTGCTATACGCATGCGAACAGGTTTCAACTTTGGTCCAACATCGGTTATCGAATATGAATATACCTTTTTGTTTCAAAAAATTAAAAGAGGAGTGTCTCGGTTGTACCGTGCACGTGGTCATGATAAAAGCTTGTTCGCCTCAAGCTCGGAGTGTGGAGTTTTCGATCTTCAGCTGGATAAAACTAGACTTCAAAATCAATATTTGCTGCTTTCAGCCGAGAAAGTAGTTAGTGCCTTTGTACTGGCAAAATATATAGGCATAAGCTATTGAAAAGAAGTACTACGATTCATATGTTTTCTAGGTCATTGTTCCCATGTTAATGTGTTCTTCAGCTGCTTGTGGCATCATTATTCATGTAATGAGTAATATTGGCCGTACGTCTCATTGACAATCATACCCCATCTTCTTATTTTTATATTCATTTTGCTTAATATTCATGAATTGCTTTGCTTGAAGTAGATATCGTTATTGGTGAGACTTTTTTTAATTCATGTAGACTGTATAAGATTTCTTCGATATGCTTGTTCACAACACATTTATTTTTCTATTCTATTTCAGCAATTCTCCGAAACATAATTTTGAATGAAGAAAATTGACCTAACAGATACTTCGCTTGTTTCATAGTAGTATTGTGTTTGCATTGACTTATGATTAAGGAAAAGGGTTATTAGATTTCTTTGATTTAGGGTCTTGAGTGACAACTTTGTATTTAATTCTAATCTTTTCCATCCAGTTATTGGGGCTGTTTCAAGAACTACTTATATAATTTGATTTTCTGCTGCATGTATATGACTTGATTAAAAAAATATCTTACCCAGGGTAATGATTGATTGCCTAATTTTGTATCAGCAGACAAAGGCTATAACGCTGCGAGCGGGATAACGAATTGACGCATTAATCAAAACTGTTATTAAAATCATGTATAAACATTATATTTATGTTTATTTTTGTACAACAAAAACATAACTGTTACAATGATTACCTTCCGATACAATGTACACTCTCCCTTGTTGAAAAATATTCCCATAATAATTAGGAATACCATTTGAGACATTACAGATGTAAATCCCGGTATCCTGATATCTATTTGATAAGTCACTCTCTGGTAGCTGGAGAATTCCATTATTTGTCGCGCCTAAATATCTAATATGCTCGTTAAATTGAGATCGATGTTCCCAGGGAAAGTATCTGTAACTATTTGGTTCTCCTTGTGCCATACATTTCATTTCCCTATTTTTGCTGTCTTCAGTAAAATTGCTGTAAAGTATATTAACAACTGGAGGATCTGTAAATAAAACCAAAATTAAAATGTGTGTATATGCATTTTGTATGTTGTATGCATAAAATAGGGCGATACAAGAATTAATTATTATTCAGGGGAAAAAAGAAATTGAACTAAAAGAAGAAAGCACATGCAAAATGTTGAATTTGAACAAAGCTAATTTCCTCTTGTTTGCATTCATGGATTTCGGAAGAGTTTGAAGAAATATCAGATATTGTTAAATGAAGTTCTTACATGAAATAACGAGTGAAATCTCATTAGACGCATTACCAATGTCGTTCTGGGAAAAACATGTGTAGTTGCCAGTGTCATGTTGACTCACGTTACTCATCATATAACACAATGAAGATCCATTATTTGTTGAAACTAATTTCTCATTCTCTTTAAACCACGATAGTGATGTTGGTTGCGGATTACCCATCGATGTGCAACAGAGATGCGTTGTTTCACCTTCCATAATCAAAGCGGCACTAACATTTACTTTGATAGAAAGTTTGACTGAAAAAAAGATTGTTATATGTTACAAGTCGAGAAAATGCAATAATTTCTTGAATACTATTTTTTAAATGTTGATTTATTGAACTAGTTATTAATGTGCATTAAAAAAGTTAAAGAGAATGTTAGAGTTCCGATGGCGACCCCGTATGCATACATGTTCGTGTTTTTAGCCACATAGTATGAGTTCGTAAATACAGTTTGAAGTGCAGATGTAGTTGGGAGATATTGATTATTGACCTTACAACAAAACCAAACGACGAACCGTGGTGCCTTGGCCGAGATAAATATTTTAAACGTCATTAATGTAATAATTTTTTACATACATTGAGGTCAGATGTCACGTACATATAACTATAAAGGACCTATAATCTTGTATCATATTTATCTAAAGTTACACTGTAAAGAGTATAAAAGAGTATAATTAAAAATGTGCGACTAAAACATAGATTCGCTTCATTGCCTTCGATATAGTTTGACGTCCGATTTCGGATTTTTAACACCCATTGAAATGGAATTATATCACATTAAGTAAGCATATATCTTGGGTAGTATATCAAGTACATATGAAAGCCTCATATTTATTATATGCATCGACTTGTCATGGTATAACTTGATGCAATGAATCATTTTCGTTACGTAGATTAACAAGTTTTATTTGAATGTATTGATGCTGCCGATATTCGTAGATGAAATTGAGAATGGAAACGGGGAATGTGTCAAAGAGACAACAACCCGACCAAAGAGCAGAAAACAGCCCAAGGCCACCAATGGGTCTTCAAGACAGCGAGAAAATCCCGCACTCGGAGGCGGGCTTCAGCTGGCCCCTAAACAATAATTGTATAATTGTTCAGCAAAAAAGGATGTCACATTATACTCCGAAACATATAAATGAACCACAATTAAAGACACATACAAGAATATCTAAGCCCAAAGGTCTCTGACTTGGGACAGGCGCAAAATTGCAGCGGGTTAAACATGTTTTGTGAGATCTCAACCCTCTTATTTACCTCTAGCTAATGGGGAATTAACAAACACACAGCAATACGCACAGTAAAACTCAGTTTAAAAGAAGTCCGAGTCCGATGTTAGAATAGGTAATACAAGAAACTAAGCAAAATGACAAGGATCAACATAAATTAACAAAGGACTACTAGCAGTTACTGACATGACAGCTCCAGACCTCAATTAAACTGATTAAAATAGTATGTCTTCATCATATGAAAATCAAGCACATTCCCTACAGTAAGGGGTTTAGTATCATACCATCATAAAATCTTCAGGAAGAACATAACCTATGTCATGCTAACAACTGGTTTTAGAATAAATGTGTTTATTTCCGATGCAAAGACCCTATGAGTGAATCAATATTAATTCCAGAAAAGCCCTCTTTAAGGACCTCTTTGAAGTTTGGTTAGCCTTTGGGGTGAATGACGACGTTTTTTTGCTTTGTATAGAATATTATCATAAAAGATGGGATGTTAAATACCTGAACATATAAGATGTCTGCTCGTTGATTTATATTTACGAATGAAGTCCTTGCATTTAAACGTACAAAATATACATTTATATTAACATTTATTTGATACTTCTCCACTTAAAAAAAAAATAGATATGTAATATCGGTTTCAAATTATTAAAATCTTTGTTATAAAATAGCTTTTTGAAATAGCTCTCGTCTCAGTTGGGCTTTTTTGCTAGGCCACCCCCTCACGTCCCTAGCTTCGATATATGACGACGGAAGTCATTGTAATGTAACATTGCAAAAACACAAGATAGCAAAAGTCATATATAAGATAATAGCATTAATGATACCAATTACAAATGTACACTGCACCCAATGTGCATTTCGACAATTAATGTATCTTCACTGATTTTCAAGGCCAAATTATTAATTCGTTTTCTTCAGCATTAGATCATTACCCTAACACCAGAAGAATATTTCTTACGTTTTATATCTAGATGAATTGTCTTGGTAAGCGGTATTTTCATGTCTTGATTTTGTACTTCGCATGAATAAACAGCTTTGTGATTGGTTTTATCGGGAACAAATGAATAGACAAGTTTTCTTGGTCCACCTGTCTTAATGATGATTCCATCCTTTCTCCATCTCAGTACTTCAGGTGGTTTTCCACTTTTCACCAAGCAAATAAGATCCAGTGGGGAATTTTCTATTCCTTTTACAGTATAATTGTCAGTTACGTTTTGGATAATCGGCTCTGATGGTAGCACTGAAATATAATACTCATCATCACTAGGAGCGCATTTCAAAGTGATTGACCTCACTATTTAAAGGTATTGTGCTTTCAGAAATAATATATTTTCGACAAGATGAGGCAACATAATTCAAACAATATTTATTTGATAAATCATCAAATAACAAATTAATGAAATAAATTTATACATTTAAGAGACAGACAAAGTTGCTTTAACAAATTTCCTAGCATACAAATATTGCTCTCACTCGGTAAAAAAAACAACATATGAGAACAGATCAAAATATCATTATGTCTTACAAATTAAGCTTTATTAGTTAATCATAGCACATATAGTTTGATATAACAAAATTAAACAAGTTAACAGAAAGAAGAACTATAAGACACTAACAGAGTCATTTTGTCCTAAAGGTTTTCTTTAGTTACCATTTATTTTACAGTAAACTGGCAAAAAAATGTGCAGGTATGTCTAGAAAGAGTTTTGGTTGCACCAAATTTATAAAGCCGTATTTTCATTGATGAAATAATGTCTTGAAAATTAACAAATGATTATTCTTGCATGCTGCATCCTTTTTCAATGTTTATTGTTAAAATTGAACTTGAACTAATGTATACTAAATATTATTTTACAGTTAGGTCTGCTTCATTTTTGACTTACATCAATTGTAGAAACTGACAGTAGGCTTGGTTGAAAACTTAATGTTAACGAAAAAAGAGACATTTTCATTTTAACTTACTAGTATTCATGATCGTTTCATTTTTATGTTCCGTAAAGCAACATTCCAGCATCACCTGCATATTAAGTATATATTTTCCGGTCTGGGCTAGCGTTGTCTTATCAAAGATTGATGCTTACAATATAACTGTTGTCTTGTCAAAGGTTGCTGCTTACAATATAACTATTGAACCAAAATTTTATTAATCATGTTTTGATCGACCTTATACGACGTATCATGGAACTTTTACCTGTCATGAATAACAAGACAGCTGTTAGTTTCTAGTGATGCAGTACGCGTACACTTCCGGAGTATTAGAGATTAACCACAGTTATTGGGCCCATGTCTGTTGTTCAATCTTGACGGGACGACCATTTTATATTCCTTTGAAGGGGGAGGGGAGGTGGGTTTTTATTTGGCAGACAGAATATTCATTTACAACTCTGGCTAGGCAATGTTATTTTCGAGGGAAAATGTCTTGTATTCTTTGAGGCCGAATATTAATTTTCCTTCTGTCTTGGATAAGATTTGTTTTGAACAGAGAGGATGTATTTCTTGGTTGAAAACATGGAAGTTTATCAGCATCTGTTAGTCACAATTACATCGAATTAGATATACACATTACATTAAAAAAAGAAAACAAATATGGTTCAATTAAAGAATAAAATAAAGAAGTACAAATGTCTTTAATATTATACTGCAAAGCCCAAGTTTATGAAAAAATTTGGTCTCCTTTACATGAAACTAATTATTGTTTCATATTTTCTTTTTTTAGTAAAGTAGAAATAAAATAACATGTTTAATTAGCGTTGAGCAAGGCTATGCTTGTCTTTAAAACAATTGTTTACAAATTAAGAAACGATACATATTGTTTCAAACAGATGAGTGACGAAAGTATTAGTCTTGTGTGAGACAAAGAGAGAGAGAGAGAGAGAGAGAGATTATCTAAATAAATGTCAATGTTAACTTAAAAACTCGTATTGTAAAAATCAATTAGTCAGCACTTTATACATGTATTGTGAACTTCAAAATGTTCTATATTTAATTGATTGATTAATTAATTTTTGGTTGCTTAACGTCCAGTGGCAAATTTCTATGTTTGAACCCCTTGATACATTTGTCAGGTGGAAGTGTATAGGAGTATGTAAAATCCTGACTTTCGAAAATAAACAAAAACAAAACAAAAAAACAACTAAACAAAACAAGATACTTGCATGAACCGTGTATTACTAATTTATATATGTGCTTAACATCTTGAATGTGTAATACAAATTAGTTAACACTTTTTTCTGTATCTTTTATTGTTTGCCAACACTCCTTTTTGATGTTTTTAATCAGTCAGCAGGTACAAAATGCTGACCATCCTCTCTGAGAAAAGTCATGATTGTTGTCCAACGGTTGTCCGTAAAGTGTAATTTTCGAATGGACACACATTTCAAGAAGAAATAGTCAGTATCAATATATCAGAGGGTTTAAATAGAGACATGTTGCTTCAACCGTTCTATGCCAAGTCCACCAGGATAAAGGAATATCAAGATGTAAACAAAACTTGTTATTTTTTAGCTGAGATAATTAGACAATAGTTCGAATTAATTTTGCAGATCTTTCAAAAGTCACTG